GTCATTACAAGATCAGTATAATCATCGCTACTGAAAAATATGTTGGTGTCATCTGCGAACAGTATGAGTTTAAGTACTTGAGAAACATCAAAAATATCATTTATGTATATATTGAAAAGTTTTGGTCCCAACACTGACCCTTGGGGAACACCACATGTAATACCAAGTTTCTCTGAATGGTAATGCCCTATGCTAACATATTGTTCCCGACCCGTTAGGTAACTTTTTAACAAAATAATAATAATAAATCCTGATCATTTACGCACAGTGTATTAAGTTCAGAAATTAACTTCTCTCTCTTTCCTTTAAGGTTCAAAAACCTTAAATGGGTGTGCACCAGTCACCTCTCATGCCCACAGTGAGGTTTTGAGGAAAATTTAACACTGCCAGCTTTGCACAGATGTACAAATGTAAGTGTGTTCAAGTCCCAACAAACAAACAAACAAACAAACAAACAAACAAACAAACAAACAAACAAACAAACAAACAAACAAACAAACAGGCAGGTATATAAGGTGGAAACCCAGATGTCCCAGTTCTACACTCATTTCTGTACAATGGGAGGAAGTCGAGCCAAGTCATCTGTCTTTATATAGTTGTTGATCTCTGCTGAAGCTCTGGAGGCTAAAGGTGTTTATTAGGGAAAGCCTTAACATCTAGGGACAACTTTCTATTTTAACTTGATAGATTAAAGTGAATATCCTACTCTGGATATATTTTAATTTTTAGCACTTCATAAGAAATGACTCATGTTTGTGTATTTTTTCTTCTTTCCCCATAAGCCTTTATAGAATCTCACATCACAGCAAAGAATTCCGGGTCTGTGATTAGAAAATTATGCAGATGTCTTTGCAGTTCGACGCTGGAGTGTTAAGTATCAGTTTTAACAACAACTACATTTGTTCTCTGTGATTTGCCTGTAAGTATTATTTGTGAAATGTTTAGTACGACTTGGTTACAATTGGGCTAATGGTGGATGTTTATACAACCTGAATTCCAGAAAAGTTTGGACAATCTTTTAATTTGAACAAAATGAAAACTAAAAGACTTTCAGAGCCAATATTTTATTCACAACAGACCATAAATGACACATGAGGTTTGGAAACTTTACAGTTTAATTCACAAAATGAGCTCATTTCCAATTTGACACCTGCAATAAATGACTGAAAAAGCAAGAAATTTAAAAAGGACTTAGCTCAGTGAACATCCAGCAAGTAATTAAGCTAACTGATATCAGGTCTGTAACATGATTAGCTATAAAAGGGAAATCTTAGAGAGGCTCTCCAGTCCAAACTGTCAGGGTCCCTGTGCCTACCCGGTCAGCTCAGTATGGCTACATATGTTTTTATATTCTTTTTTGATCCTGCTCTCTCCCTTCCCCTCTTTCCCTCCTCCCTCTGCCTGGGCGGAGCTCACCTGTGGGCTCCTGCCCTTGGCCCACGCACCTGGTCGCAATCACACACCTGTGGCTCATCACGAGTGTTCCAGCTCCTTTATAAGATGGCAGCTCTGTGTTTCTCGTCGCTGGACCGTTGCCGACCCTCGTCAGTGTAACCCCAGCTCAGTTAACTCTAGAGTGTTTTCACAGCGATTTGCCTTATAATCCCTTCGTGTCTCTGTGTACAGATTCCCTGGACCAACCCCTGTGTTACCTGAGTGATTGGAGTGTGAAGAGGAGCGTGAGGAGTGGACGGAGTGTGTGTGTGTGACTTTTGGCGTCTTTCCCGTTCGTGTGTGGACCCCCAGAGCCTGGCTTTCCCCTCACTTTTGTAAATAATCACCTGGTGTATCATAATAAAGACTCTTGTGCTTTCAAGACCTAGAGCCTGCGCGTGAGTCTGTTCAGTCCCGCTGTGACACAAACAATGTTACTCAATGTTCTAAGACTTTGCAACTCTCATCATCTACAGTGCATAAAATTATCAAAAGATTCAGAGAAGCGGGAGATTGCTCTGTGCGTAATGGAAAAGACCTTTATTGGATGCGCATGGTCTTCGGGCCCTCAGGCAACACTGCATCACTCATCAGTATAACTGTGTCGCTGACATTACTAAATGGGCCCGGGAATACCTCCAGAAACCTCTGTCGGTTAACACAATTTGCCTTGCCGTCTGCAGATGGCAGCTAACGCTCTATCATGCAAAAAGGAAATATGAAGTGAGTCCAGAAGCGTTGTTTGTTTTTTGGCCATTAGCCTTTTAAGTTTATTTAATTATTTTTTAATTTTCTTCAGTCTCAAGTGCAGAGTATCAGAGAGCATGCTGGCCAAATAAGTGAGAGCACCACTCAGTATTCACTTTTTTCCATTTCACACTTTGCAGAGCTATATTACTCCTGACACACACTTACACAAATCTGAATCAAACACTAACGGCTATGAAATGAAGAGAAAAAGGAATTCATAAGGAACTTTTTGCTTTGCCTCTCCTGCTGGTCCAGTGAAATCTGTATCCAATAAAATCTTTAATGAGGTGAGTCACCAAGTCACTCCCTCTACATCACCTTTGGACAGCAGAACTTAATTTGATTCGTCACACTCCGTTTTTGCACAAACAGCTTGAACCATGTTGAATCACCTGCAACAGGAAAGCAAAAGTTTGCATTTGCCCTATCACAGCTATAATTACAGCTCAAATTAGCCTGACAGAGGTTGTTAAAAATGAAATGCAGCATAGTTAAGTAACTTGTAATGGTGGTGCAATAAGCAAACAGATTGATGACACTATGCCTCACTACTGTTTGTGTGATTTTGGCCTGTGTTCTCTAAACCTTTGCAGTTAGCTGAATCTGGAATCCTGGTGGAAATATTGTCCAGGGATACAAAGAAAAACAAACAGTCTTACTGACTGATGTGATTGCTGCAGACTGCTGTATTAGTATGTTTATGTAAGCAAAGGATCTGCAACTGGTTGAGAAAACACTCAAGAAAACACCAAGTTTGCTTTGTCTACTCTTAACTCAGGGTGAAGGTATTCAGAGTTTGAACGAACGCTGCTGTCCTGGTACTGAAAACTGAGTTTCTCATCTTAAGGCCTTTGCACAGCAGATGTGTCAAATATGTGCAAATATTTAATATGTAAAAAATATATTTTGAACTCACCCATTCTTAATGCAGCTATGCACACCAAATGCATAATTACACAAGACAAATTTGTGGTTTTTATTTTTTCAGATCTGTTTCATTTTTTCCACACATCTAGTGGTGACACAATAAAAGCATGCACGAGGCAGAACATTTGACTGTTGTTGTGTCTGGAGCAGCTCACAATCAGCTCTCTGAAATTACTTCTCTTCCTCCTCACATGTGATCCCAACTCTGCTAACAAGACCCCAAACTGTCCCTCTGATATCCTGAAATATGTCAGAAAGCAGTCGTCCTGATTTACACAACTACTTCAACTCCTGGATTAAACCATGAAATTCTCACTGTTGCTGCCTAATATTGGGAACGGGATGTTTCTTCCTTTTTTTGTTTAGTAAAATCAGGATAAACTGATCATTGCTTGATGTCATCTCCATCAGTCTCTAATCAGTTCCTTACATCGGTTCCACTTTCCCACACTGTCACACTCAATGCTGACATTATCGTACATCCAGCTTGTTATCAGTGCTCACTTCAAAAGTCTGCATGCTGATGGTACGGTGGTGCATCAGTGCCAGTGGAATTAGCAGCTTGCACATCTGAAAATAGCAACTGTCAGTACTGAAAAGTATATACAGATGTTATAGCAACATATAGTCTCATCCTGAAGTGATATTTTTCATTGAAGACTTTGCTTATTTCAGCAAGACAATGGTAAAAAACAAACTGGAGCTATTGCAACAGCATTTGCTGTTACTGGGTTAGACTTGTATGAATTATACATGTATCAGTTTCATGTTCTGGGTTGTTAGTAGTTGTACCCAGTGTTATCTTTTGGGTTCAGTGTGTTGTGTGAGGGTTTATTTTGGGCAATTTTTTTTTATATAAGAAAGTGAAGAAAATGAGAGGAAAGTAGGACAAAAATGAAGACATGGAGAAAAAAGTCTGGGACAGAGCTAAACCAATGTCCCTCCAGAAGGCCTTTGGTAGATGGGTCACCTATACTAAGGAGCTTGGAAAGAAAAGCGTCTGGACTTCTTTAAGTTGCTTGAAGACGTTTCACCTCTCATCAGAGAAGTTTCTTCAGTTCTAGGGTCAAATGGCGGAGAGTCACACAGCATTGAAGGAGTTGTTTTATCGTGATTGCATCGACTTGTTCACTGACATTTCAAAATGAATAAAGGTTTTTATTGAGTTACAGGTTTTTTGCATGTTAACTATTGTCTTTTGGAAAATGCCTATTCAGGCTTGAAAACTTCAAATATGTTGTGAGAAAAGTACCAAACTGAAAAGAAAGCTGTAACAATCGCGGAATTGGTCAGCAGGGGGCGCTGTAACACTGTTTATGTCTATAACAGCTATCCAGCTTATCTTTACCAGGGTCGCGGGGGGCGCTGGAGCCTATCTCAGCTGTCATAGGGCAAGAGGCAGGGTACACCCTGGACAGAGGTAACCATTTGCACTCACTTTTACTTACATTCACACCTATGGGCAGTTTGAAGTTTCCAATTAGCCTAACCCCACTGCATGTCTTTGGACTGTGGGAGGAAGCCTGGAGAGAACCCACGCAAACACAGAGAGAACATGCAAACTCCACACAGAAAGACTAGTGATCCTTAATTTTTTAGGGCTGTCGTGGTTTTCAGTTTTATTTATACCCAAATATATAAATATATGGGTCCCACCACTTTAAAATTGAAAATCATGCCAGCCCTAAAAAAAAAATGAGGATCAATACTGTGCTCAGATAAATATTTTTTTGATTTTGTGCATGATTAATTAGATATCTGAAAAGCATTTTCTGTTAAATTTTATTATTTTTAATGATACGGTTATTAGATGTGATACTGAAAAATGTCACATTGGGTTATAGGGTAAAATGAAGTAAGCTAATCAACTCTAGGAAAGTCAAGCAGCTTCTTTCGTTTGGACTTTGCTGTGAGTTTAATTACCATCTGTGTCTGTTTGTTTTTTGAAACCCAGACTTGACTCTTAACGTCCCCTAACGTCAGCTAGGAACTCACACCTGGACCAAACCAAATCATGAAATGCAGAGGGGTGAGAGGGCTCACTGGAATTATTATTTGTTGCCCAAAACAAAACTAATGCCAGGAAACAAACACGTTTATAAGTAACTTGTGAAGTAAACATTATTTAATGGTGATATGTTAGAAAACATTAAAAAAAAATAAGACAAGCTGACTGTTATACTGTTTTCATCACGGCGCCCTCGCCACACATATCAATGTATAATGAATACCAATCACTCCACTGAGAATCTTAACGATGTTTTATCCACTGGAGGGAGCCCATACCACAACCATTCAGTGCAACTCGGTGAAATCACATTTGATATGTACTCTTCATCAGTCATTCTTCATTCTTCACCTTTAAAGAAACCGTAACCTCACAGACTACAGGGACAATCTATACCAAACAGCTAAACAGTGAACCCAGATTTATAATAACAACAACAACAACAACAATAATAATAATAATAATAGATTATACAATGTCTACCCAGCATAACACAAACTACGCCTGTCATAACATAAAAAATAATAAAGACCAGATGAAACTAACTCTAACCCTTCCCTTCATCATTCATGGTTCATATGAAGATATTTTACTTTCAGTTTCGTTAATAACCCTAAAGTCTGCGTTTACCCCAGATTTAAGTGACGTTTACTGTCAGAGTAAATTCTTATTGGCTCAGATGGAGCCCAGTGGGGACGTACCTCCTGGTTCTCCTCCTTTTCTCCTATTTTAGCTTTGATACTTGAGCTGGAAGCGCAGAGGCGCTTTTTCTAGACAAGCGAACACACAAAGTCTGTTAAAGGTTGGATGTTTATGGTCACAATGAAGGCCTTCATCTTTCTTCTTCTCCTGGGGATACAGGGGGCAGCGGCAGGTCAGTTTGATTTGAATGTTTTTGTGTTTTTTATGTGTCAGATTTATGTAATTTGAAATACAAACGGACAGATGTTTTGTTCTCCAGAGACTTCCTGTACGCTAAACATTTAGTTTTTATAGATCCTTGTAGATAATATCAATATTAAGAAACAATCGATCATTTTATACATGTAATTAAATAGTCTGTTTCTCTGTTCATCCCTAATAATAAACATTAAAGTTTAGATTAAAAATTAGGTTTAGCTAATATAAATAAATAAATAAATAATGCAAATATTAAAACAAGGCGATTTCTGTCCAAAACTATTTGATGATTCCCGTCTTTAAATCGTTCATGACGCGTTTTTAAAGGTTGTGACTCTGTTGTGTTTCCAAACAGTTCAACAAATAAAAGATCCATGAGGAGGCTCGTTGATAATCTGGTGACAATAATCAACACTGTTTTTTAAAAACGGAGAACCATTTTAATTTCACGAGGAATTAAAAACATCTTCACACAACAGCTGATAATTAAAGTTCACTAAAGTGTATTTAACACAAAGTATCTGTTAAAATTTAAGAGTTTAATTATTTAATTATTTATTCAGTATACGCTGTGTATGTAGAGCCACATGTCATTTGATGGAATTCATTAAAAGGTAAAAGACTGCTTTTTTAGACTGTATTCAGTATTATTCACCAGCGTTATGCATGTGAATACTTTCTGTTTGAAGAACATGCGCACACATGATGTACTAACGAGTTACGCCCGGATGTAAGTTCACTGTTTTTCTGATGTTATTGATTCAGTAACAGCTCAATGATGTGACTTTTGTTGTGATTTGGCGTCATATAAATACAATTAAATAGAATTCAGATGAACTAAATTAATTCATTATTGCTTTATAATATCGTGCAGTTACCAGCATGAGCTAATGTTGGTATCACTGCTGAATGATCAATAAGAAGCTGCAGGTGAGAAATCCCTGAAAGCTTTTGCAACACACTCGCTCCTCCACCAGGGGGCGCTAATGAGAAGCGTTTTAAACTACTATGTGCGTTGGTCAGTAACAAACAAACAAATCCATATAAATGAAAACTGTCCTGCAAACCTGATTAAAGAATGAAAGATAAAATCAAAAATGCTTAAGATAATATTCCCTCAACAATATTTACTTAACATTAGCTTTTTATTGATAATATTATTGATCAAACATATTGGAAAGTTTCTGTAACAATTTTGAATGTGCATTAATTGACAAAAGTCAAAATAATATAAACAAAGAAGAAGCATGGGTATTAATATTTAGAAAAACCCAGTACAGAATTTTTTTTTTAAACCAAAAGTCTGGACATTCACATCAAAACAATGAAATCAATTTATATAATTTATAATATAAAAAACTGAAACAAAAAAGGAAACAACTCACTTTAGAAGTCCTGCTGCTTGATTCAGAAAAAGGAAAGAAGAAACTTTACAGTTCATACAGCGGCTAACAAAAGAAAAACAGATTAAAAATAATGTGTGCTTTCTTTAAAATAAAAATATAGTCAAATTAAAGTTATAATGAGTTCAAACCATTAATCATGAAAACTAAATTAAACTAAACTGAAAGATAAAAACACGTTTTAAAACTTAAAATTACAGTTTTGAAGAAAAGATGATCAGAAAATGACATTAAACACTGAATATCTATTCATAAATATTACAGGATGTCTTTAATGTGCTGTAGTTTTTCTTATTGTGTTATTTAAAAAATAAAATAATTTATTAGTCTGTGTTCCTGAGATCTCACAACATTAACTGTTTCTTACAGTGACCCACTCTCTGAAGTATTTCTACACTGCGTCCTCTCAAGTCCCAAACTTCCCAGAGTTTGTGTCTGTTGGGATGGTTGATGATGTTCAGGTTGATTATTATGACAGCAACACAGAGAAAGCTGTGCCCAAACAGGACTGGTTTGCCAAGAACACAGATCAGCAGTACTGGGAGAGTCAGACTGATATGTCCAGGGGTTCCCAGCAGACGTTCAAAGCCAACATTGAGGTTGTAAAGCAGCGCCTCAACCAAACTGGAGGTTTGTTCATGTTTCATTTTTTACTGATATTTGCTGTTAATGTTTTCAGTGTGTTTTGTTTACAGTAGTAAACAGGTTTGCACACATTAAATGTTTCATTCAGATTACAGATTAAAATTATTAACATAATAATTCATAATGAATGTAGAACTACAGTCTGTGAAGTTTTAATTTAATTCAAACAGCTTTAAGTATCATGTTTGTATGAACTGGCATAATAATGATATAATCTGTCAGTTAACTGATTAGTTGATCAAAATATTAAAATAATAAAGTAAAAATTTATTATATTTGCAGTTTTCTGTTTATATTTAGGATTTTTGTCTCTGAAACTTTGACGATTGTCTTTGTTACAATTTCTCAATGAACTGATTATTCAGAAAATAATCTCCAGCAGGATCTAAATAATCAGTCTGAGATGTGTTTGTTTTACAATTACTGTGAACTAATATTTGACTTTAAATAAAAACTGACTGAAACTCTTCTTTAGTGGAAGCTTCTAGAAAAACCTCAGGACAGTCTGGTGTGTAGTTTCTCACATTAAGACGATTCTGTTAGAACAATAAGAGGCTGCAGAGTTTCAAAGGATGTAAACTTAATCCCAGGATCAGGATCTGAGTTTGCTGCTCAGGATCCATCTTAGTGTGTTTGTCTGTTCCTGTAGCTCACAGGAAGTCGCTCCGTGTCTCAGTTTAATCGTCCTTACAAATAATCACATGTTGTAATAAATTGTAAAAAAGGAAATATGTCAGACACATAATTTATCATCCAGAGTAGATGGTAAATGTGCTGGGACGTCACAGTTTTTACATTTGCCTCAGATAATATTTTCAGATTCCATTAAACACATTCTGATGTTATATTTAATGTAAAAATGGAAAAAAGTAGAATCAAACAGGGTTGAGTTTGTGTCAGGGTGAAAGCAGAGACGGCTCAATGAACATGCCCTCTTTATGAATCATCTTAATGAACATTCATGTGAGAGTAACAGTCCTGACACTTTAATGTGCTGGAGATCACAGTCACTTATATTTAAGTTATTTATGAGGAAATTCACAGTTTTCTGAGATGATTTTGTAAACCAGCAAACATCCTCATTAATAACTAAATATATTGAACTAAATGCATCAAACAATGTGAAAATGAAACAGACATTCAGCCCGTTTTCATGAGGAAATGTTCCCAAGATTATCTTTCATTAGCAGAGGTTCCATAAATATATCATAAATACATGAAAGCTACTCTGTGGAAAATAAACAAATATTAACTTACAGTTTCAGTCTAATAGCACAAGAGTTTAGTGAGAATTAGACCAAAAATAAGAAACACAAACTAACAGACAGACGATACAAGCTGAGATCTGACATGAAAATCAGAAGTTTTTTTAAAATTTCACACTGATTTTTATCGCATTTTTAAATGACATTAAGTTTGAGTTTCAGTTTATGTTGAATATTTTTGGTCCCAGATTTATTTAATTTTTGACTAAAAGCTGACAGCCCGAACATATAATGTGGAAATTAAAACATTAAAATGTCTTAAATTTCACATAAAGTGGCTGAAGGTTGATTATTTAAGGTGGCATTTTTAAATCAGGTCGCTGTAAAACTCAGCAAAACCCTGACAGAAAACGTCCTTATGAGCGGCGAATAAAAACGACTGATTTTTTTCAGTCATTGAACTCCACTTGAGGCTGCGCAACGTTTACGAACGACGGAAAAAACAGCGTTCTTGGCCGTTCACTGAGCTCTGTGACAGCTGAGAGCGTTTTCAGGGCCGGTGGTTTAAACTCCAATCAAAGAAGGAGAGGAGACCGAATTTCACTTTAAGGCATTTATCACATAAGTTTGTCTATTTTATCTATTGACACCAGCACCACTGACTAACAATGGGCTGTGAGGCCGTTCCCCAACTCTCCGAATGGTACTCATGTCATTGGTCAATCATCATGACAATCATCTCACAGCCCATTGTTACTCAGTCATTATGCAAATGTACTGTTTATAAGATTGAAACCTGCAGTCAGCTGAGACTGAAGAAGTCACTTGGATGAGTGACGAAACGTTTCTCCCACAAAACGCTTCGTCCAGATGAACAGAATCAACTTTTTCCCCACTTGTTTCAGAAAGAAAATTCTGTCTTTTGTTTGATGTATTAGGTTGAAAAATCATCAGAAATGCATACTGGGATTTGTATTCAAGTAAAGATTGTGCCAAAGAAAGATAAAAGAAAGTGAACTTGAGGCAGTCACTTTGGATCAAAGTGAATCTGAGATGATTTTGTGTCTGCACTTCTTCTTTGATTGGAGTTTAAGTAAAGGATAAACCACCGGGAGGCCCTGCAAACGCTCTCAGCTCTCACAGAGCGCTGAGAAAAGCGAGCTCAGGCCAAGAACGCTTTTTTCCGCTGCTCATAAACGTTGCACAACCGAGTGACCTACAAAGCCATCAATGACCGAAGAAAGCCATCTTTTTTTTCCTTTTTTTAACATCTCATAAAGATGTGTTTAAAAAAACATCACTGGTATAAAATGCAGCCTTCTGACGAGCTTTTCACAGACTTTTACAGCATCCTGATCTAATAAACGGATTTTTACATAATTTCTTAACCAAACTGGCTGGAAAAGTGGTGAATTTTGGCCTAGATGTAAAGTAACTCTCCATGTTCATGTGAAAAAAATAGCTGATGATGCTCTGTGGCGTTTAAGCCCTCTCATAGGATGCGGCACGCGCAGCGCTCTGAAACCCATTCATGTCTTTTATTTGCGCCGAACAATAACGTTTTCCCGCTTACTGTTATTATAACATGAGCAGAACCACAGTGGCTCGAGGCCACGAGGACGGAGCGCCGCCGGGAGTCAAGTATGTGGAGCTTCCTGTTAAAGAGGAGAGAGCGTGAATTGAACAAACATGGCGTCAAAGGCTCAACTTACACTCTTAGTGTATTTCTAGAAACTTCCAACAGGAAGTGATCGCAGACATGCGCGACAGGGATAGAGAGAGACGGGTGGGGCATAAGAGGGGGAGGAGCCTGACACCTGTCTGTGTGGCTCACCTGAGCAGAGCCAGCACAGACGCGCTCGTCATCAGCTGTGACGTAACCCGACTCTAAACTCACGTCACCAACGAGCCGAAGACGACGTCAGTGAAACAAAGTCTGCTTTCTGACTCTGAATATATTCCTGGCTGTGACCTCACGTCTTATCAGCCAATCAGCAGCAGGCGCGGTTTGAACGGTCATCAGTGGAGCAGCAGCCGTGGACGTGGAGCTCAGCTTAAAATCAGCGGCTTGTCTTAAATCGTGCCGTTTGATTCACGTTTCAAACGTCGCTCTGTCCGCTTTCAGACGCTGACGTTAAGCTGTCGTCAGCAGACGTCAGAGCGCCCGCTGCTGATTGGTCGCTCCTCCGACACGCCCCTCTCACAGTGAAGCAGCTGATAACAGGCAATCACACAGGAAGACCCCGAGCAGCTGATCCACAGCAGCTTCTTGTTTTTAGTGCAAAACAAAATATATTTTTGAAAATGAATAAACACAAAACAGGGAAACAAACATGTTTGATGTCAGTTATTAAACGTCTAAAAACTTTTATTTAAATGAAGAAACAAACAAAAACAAAACAAAAAAAATCAAACAGATTCTGTTGAATCTGTTTATTTGTCACAAACAGCAGAGTTTGAACAGCTTCAGGATCCTTCGAGTCTTTAACTGATCGAACATTCGGCCTGAATTCACAGCAAACACAAGAAAGGACGGACGTCTCCCAGTATCCTCGCTGTGATCCCAGTATACTCGCTGTGATCCCAGTATCCTCGCTGTGACCCCAGTATACTCGCTGTGATCCCAGTATACTCGCTGCGATCCCAGTATCCTCGCTGCGATCCCAGTATCCTCGCTGCGATCCCAGTATACTCGCTGTGATCCCAGTATCCTCGCTGTGATCCCAGTATCCTCGCTGTGATCCCAGTATCCTCGCTGTGATCCCAGTATCCTCGCTGTGATCCCAGTATCCTCGATGTGATCCCAGTATCCTCGCTGTGATCCCAGTATCCTCGCTG